GACACACACGTGCACGTGGCCCCCTACCCCGACACTCGCACGCACGCGGCTCCCCACCCCAACACATGCGCGCCCGCTCCCCCAATCACGCGCCCGCGCCCCCCAATCGCACGTGCCCGCCCGCCCACCCCAATTGCGCCCGCCCCAATCGCCGCACCCGCTCCAATTGCATGCGCCCACCCACCCCAATCACGCGTGCCCGCCCCCCCCCCAATCGCGCTCACGGCCCCACACCCCCCAATACGCCCACCCCCAACGCGCACATGGGCGCAGCCCCCAACGCGCACGGCCCGCAGCCCTCCCCGACGCGCTCATGGGCGAAGCCCCTCCCAAACATGCACATGGGTGCAGCACCCCCTCCCCCCCCCACCCCCACACACACACACATGCCACCCCCATACAAACAGCTCAGAGCCTGGGAGAGGCTGCAGATAGACTCCCCTTCATATTAATGTGCGTGTATGTGTTTATATACATATATATATATGGTTTTATATAAAATAATGAACAATGCGATGGCGAGGGCTCATCGTTGCTGGATGAAACCATTGTTTTATTTCATGGTAATCTGTGATGGTTATATTCTGCCTCCGATCTTCTGGTGGAAATCCGTCCCCGTGCCTTGAGACGTAACTGTTGTAAGGTTTTACCCACTTGCTGGTTGAAGGAGGAGCAGGAAACAAACCCCGCAGGGTATTTTTGTGGTCTAGGGTGGGAATTATTTGAACTTTCCTTTTGTTAGAGTTGACGACAACTTTAGAAATAACGTTAAGAAAGAAGAACTGAAACAATGTGTTGCCATTGCCTTTATTTTCTCTTAGGCGATCTGAACAGTTTATGGATCTGTACCATCACAGAAAGGTAGAAGGGGTTTGGTGTCATCTTTTATCGCTGCAGTACCTTTAGCCAACGTCCTGGATTTAAATAAATTCTCAAGCTTACACATTTATTGAACAGTGAGCCATTCGGTTTTCTAGTTTGTGAAATAGCTACTTTAAGATCGAGTTGAATTTCATTTAAAAATCATGTTAGTGAGGACCTGCTTTTGACTCGAGTAACCCTCGGCATTCGACCTGTATTTATAAGTATTTGCTGTCAAGTATTTGCTTAAAAATTGTGAATAATGTTAAATAATAATAATCCTTGCATTTGATATAGCACCTTATCACATCGTCAGGACATTGCACAGCGCTTCACAGGATATACTGTAAAGTGGGTTGACTGTGTATTTTGTGGGTGAATGTATCGAGTCATGGCGATTTTGTTGACTTTAAAGTAATCCTTTGTGAAACTGAAAAGCAACTGATGCCTTCTAGTCAGATTTGTAATAGTGCTCCAAAGATAGGGTGTATATTTTATAACTCTAAGTGTTGAGACTTTGCATTGTGTACATTCATTCAAACATAATGTACTTAGGTTTGTTTCATCTCCAAAATACACACAACAGTTTCCTTGAATTTCTTCAATCATTTTACTTTACTAAATTGGGTGTATGCTTTAAAAAATGGAGTTTCCATCTGTACTTACCGTCTTCCCATTTCTGTTTTGAAGTGAGTGGTGTGTTCCCTTTGGGGAACATGGGGTAAACCCTGTTAAAAGAGGTGAGTCATATTTTATTAAATTCCAGGAAATTAGATAAAAATACAGCAGCATAAAAAGTGACTCCCATCTCCTTTCTACCTATTCGTGTTGGTAAAGATCCATAAACTGTCCGGATTGCTTTAGAGAAAGTAATATTCTGAAGGAAGGTGCTCAGTTGGTAGCACTCTCACCTCTGAGTCAGAAGGTTGTGAGTTCAAGCCCTACTTTGGGACTTTGAACTCGCATGGTTCTGGACTGCCACTTCAGTGCAGTGCTGGGAGTACACTGCATTGTTGGAAGTGCTTCCTTCAGATGAGACGTTAAACTAAGGTCCCGTCTGCCTGTTCATGCGGAATAAAAATAAAATGAAATTTCCATGCCGCTGTTTGAAAAAAGAAGGGATTTTCTCCCAGTGTGCTGGCCAACAATCCCCCATAAAATTGGTTATTCACTTCATGGTTGTGTGTGGCAAATTGGCTGCCGCACTGAAGTACACAGTCACTATACAATCATGTGAATTTCCTTGAGTCGTCTCGACGATGTGATAATGCACTATATCCAAGGATTATTATATTATGTCTAGATGTTGTGAAAAGTGCTATATCAAATGCAAGGATTATTATTATTATACATATTATGACTTTGTTCCTCAATCACCTTACCAAAGCATGTCTATTTTTAAAATGTTGAGATTCTCCCTCTTAGAAGAAATGGTGCCGCATTTCACCCGCAAGTGTAATATAATAATAATCCTTGCATTTGATATAGCGCTTTTCACGTCTTCTAGACGTCTCAAAGCGCTTCACAGACTGTAAAGTGGACTGGAGATCTAACTCATCAATGTTTTAAAGTGGTGATTCATTAGGGGGAAACGAGTGAAGCTTTAGGGGTTCTTTTACATAAGTGGATAATATGGTTC